ATCCAACCAATTGAAGGTCTGAATAGAAGAAAATAAACAAACCCTCCTTCCAGTAACAGTGAACTCCATCCTAGTAGGGAACACAGGTGACTACAATACAGTGAGTTTTTAATTATTTCATTATGTTTTGAGGTATAACTTAGTGCAGTTACTGTGCCTGACTCATTTAAAAAATTTTTTTAACCAGTACATGTTTGCAGTACATAATGACTACATTCATCTCGGGGAATGAGTACACCTGCATAACAAATCTCAATTCTTTTTCATTCCATTCTCCTCTTCTCCCTCTGTCTTTGGATCCCCTTTCCATTTGAGAAAGATCTGTCTCTCTACTTCCTATTATGTTTTATTTTGCTCTTTATTTATAATTTGGATTTCTCATATAAGAGAAACTATGATATTTAATCATCCATTTCATACAAATGACTCAAGTTTATCTTTCCTTATGGCAGAGTGGTTCTCCATAGAATTTAAATACCACATTTTCTTTATCTATTGTTCTGTTAATGGACATGTAGGCCACTTTCAAGATTCAGCTGTTATGGATGGTGCTGCTAGAAATATGAGTATGCATGTATAACTGTAATATGATGTCCTTAACTCTTTCAGGAAGACAGCTTGAAGGGGAATAGCTGGGTCAAATGGAATTTCTAGTTTTAGTTTTTTGAGGAATCTCTACAACTGATTTCCAAAGTGGTTGTGCTAGTTTACATTCCCACCAGCAATGAAGAAGGATCTTTTCTTCTCTGCAGCCTCGCCAGCATTTGTTATCATTTGATTTCTTGATGATAGCTTGCTGGGGTTAAATGGGACCTCAGTGTTGTTTTAATTTGCATTTCTTTAATGACTAGTGATGTTGAAAGTTTCTTCATATATTTATTGGCCATTTATACTTCTTCAGTGAGTGTTTATTTTTGATTGGGTCTTTCATTTTAGGGAGTCTAACTTTTTGAGTACTTTATATATTCTAGATACTAGTCCTTTGCCTGGGAAGTAGTTGGCAAAATTTTTCCCATTTTGTAGGTTGTCTTTTCACTCTGTTGGTTGTATCTTTTGCTGTGCAGAAGCTTTAAAACTTGATATGATCCCATTTGTTGACTCTTGGTACTATTTCCTGTGGAACTAGGTTTCTTTTCAGAAAGTCCTTACCTACATCTATGACTTTATCTATGACTGTACCTATTTTGTCATCCAGCAGGTTAAGTGTTTATGTTTTAACATTTAGTTCTTTGATCCATTTTGATTTTAGTTTAGTATATGATGAAAGATATGAGTCAAGATTCAATCTTCTGCATGTAGATAGCCTGGCTTATTTTTGAATTAATAAATTGTCCTTCTGGTCAACTGTTCATCTGTTGGGTAGATGTGGTTGAATTGGTCCACTCTATAAACTTCATCTTAATACAGAAGGAAAATAAGGCAAATAGCAAATCATTCATGGGCATGTTGTGCAAGTGGAATAAGTTCATTGATGAAAATTGTTCTGAACAATCTAAACTGCTGTCCAAGTTCATGGGAAGGTGCTGAACTTGAACTGACAGAGATACAACCAAGCTCTACCAAGCATCACCTATGGGACCTTGGATGCTTACTTGATACCTGGGAGCCTCAGCTTCTTTTTAGTAAAATAAAGACAAAGAAATATGTACCTCCTTGGGCTAGGGTGACGCCAGAGTTTTGGCAGACTGTGCAATGGGTGTGAGCTTGTGTCATCACGGGAAGAATGTTCTTTGGCGTGACCTCCTCCTTCAAAATATCAACTCTCCATTTTCTTCCCTTTATCTCTTCTCTGTCTTCTCTAGGATCCTGGATCTGGGATCCGGTCATTTACTACTGTCAATAAGTTTCCTCAAATTGCAGCTGGCTTCCTACAAAAGAGATGACCCCATCTAGTAGCCCTCATCTTGAATTCAGGAAAGCTGAGCATCCTACTTTTCCTAGAGCCAAAACAGAGATGCTAATTGGCTTCTGGTGAAATGTCTGGCTTCTCCTCCAAGGGTAGGTTGGGAAGGAGCTGTCCTGCAGAAGGGGTGGGGCATAGGTCCTCTCTGGAAGCATTTCCTGGCCTGGTGGCCTGGAGGGCAGGACACAGTCCCAGAGTTCACTTCTCATCCTTGCAGGCTGGTTGAGAAAGTGGCCAGAGAAGGAGGCAGATTCCAAGGGCAAGCTGAAGGTCTCAAGACAAGGAGGCACCAGGAGACCACTAGGTAAAAGCAAAAGCTGTCTTTGTCTGTGACCGGCTGTGTTTCCTCATTACTCTAGACTTCAGTAAGACCAATGATGGGGACTGCACTCTCAGGAAGGGTTTGTTCTGCTCTGCATCTTGGACTCCAAGAAGTGGACTCAGTACAGTAGACACAGAACAAAGTAAATTTAAATCCAGCTCTGTCGTTTTGGTGCTCTATTGTCTTCAGCAAAGGATACCACTTCTCTGACCTTTGGGTATTATCTGCAAGGGGGATGCTACTGATGACAGAGGGTTGCTTTACATAGGAGCTCACTAAACAACAGTCCCTGTGGTGGCTAGACTCATATGGCAATGTGACTGGGCCACGAGGGCCTTAGACACCCAGGTAAATATTTTTCTGGGGATGTCTATGAAGGTAATTCCAGATGAGATTCCATCTGAGTCTGCAGACTGAGCAAAGCAGATTGCTCTCTCCCCATGTGTGGCCTCAGTGGATCAGCTGGAAGCCCGAATAGAACAGAAAGGCTGTACCCCTGTGAGAAGAGGATATTTCTCCTGCTAAGGGCCTTCCAGCTGGAGGACATACGTTTTCACGCTTTTTTCTTCTTTTTTTTTGTGGTACTAGGGATTGAACCCAGGGCATCTGCCCTGAGCTACATCCTCACCCCTTTTCTGTTTTTTATTTTGAGACAAGGTCTTGCTAAATTTATAAATTGACCAGGCTGGACTTGAGCTTGCAATCCTCCTGCCTCAGCTTACCAGAGTGCTGGAATAACAGGTGTACATCAGCACACTTGCTCCTTCCCTACTTCTGTACACACACACACACACACACACACACACATACACTATTAGTTCTCTGGGGGACCCAGGCTAATACAGTTTTCTGCCCGTCTGCCTTGCCACTTTTTTAGGAAAATCATCATGTTTTTCTTTCACACACAGGTCAGCTCTTATTCTCTACTCTTAAATAAGGCAATGGCTATTCACAGAGAGCAAAAAGTCTCCAGCACTAGAATACATTTCATTTCTCTGATTTCTGTTATCTCAAGTTATCCTAATTATTATTTAAAATCATTTCAACACAACTTACCTGAGTGACAAATAAAGCAGAAATGGTTCCCTCCTCCTCCTCCTTCTGTTTTAAATAAGCAGAATTATTGAGGCATATCTGACATTTAACAACCTACTTAGTTGAAGTGTACAAACTGATGGAGTTTGAGATATACACAAGCACTTCACCACACCCATATTGACTGGAATCTATCTCCCTCCACACCCTCATGCTTCACTGTAATCTACTCCCAACCTCTACCATGCCTCTTTCCCAGACCACCTCCACTGATCTGTTTCCTTTTTTACAGTAGCCAAGAAAACTGAGGACCAGAAAGTAGTGACAGACCACGTCCATGTCAGGGCTGATACTCAGTGTGCTGACACCAGTCCCGTGTTCGCCCTGGGAAACCAGCTGCCCATGGCTGCAGATGGAAGGAAAGAGGACTCTTTACTGAGTGCCTGCCATGTGCCAGACCCTAGGGCTCACAGGCAGCAGGCTCAGTGCTCCCACTGGCTTTGGGTGCCTTCTGTCCAGTGAATGCTCACATCCATCCCCAACCTCTTCCTAAGCTCACAGATCCAAGTGTTTCCTTGAGCCCCCTACCTCACCTACCTAAACAACAGTTTATGTGTTATAAACTGAACTCACCCATCCCACTGCTTTTTTTTTTACAACATCCCCACCCCCCAATCTGGTATCCACCAGTCTTTTCATTCAAGTCAAAAATTTTGAGTCAACTCTGATCTTCCTGTCCCCTTACTTATGATAGCACTGTTGACTCTTTGCAAGAATCCCGTCTTACCCATTGCCATCACCCTGGCCCTGCCACCACCTTCTCCCAGTTGATGTCCTGACTTTTGTCTTGCTTTGCCCTTTATGATCCTTTCTCTGCAGATCAGCTAGTGGTTTTAAAACAGATTAGACCATGAAATCCCCTCCTAAAATTACCCCCAATAGCTTTCCCACATGCCACCTTCTTACTCAGCTCATGAAATTCGGTGTGACCTGGTACCTCTGTGAAATGATGCTATGCTCCCACCTTCATCTGACCTTATTGCTTGAACACACTAAGTACCACGTTAGTAGTTCTGCAAGCTTTATTCTCTGCCTAGAACATACTACTCATTTCAACATGCTTAATTCTATTTTCTCCTAAGGAACGGGACATGTGCTATCTCCCTCTGAGATTGTCTTCTTTGATTACTTGTACATTGCCTGTCTTTGCTCTTGAGCAGGAGCCTCATGTGTCTCACTTATGGACCTGTTTACTGCTAAGTCTCCAGCACTCAGAAACATAACTGGCATAGACTAAATGCCCAATAACTCTTCATTGAATAAATGATCAAACAACAAACATCTTAGTCAGCATAGTTATTAACCATCTTTACAGTCAAATACTTCTTACTGCTCTATAAAAAAATCAATGAAGTCTTCCTAATTCCCCCCCCCCCGCAGTATTTTACTTGGCTTTATGTTCTTCACAGTGATAAAATCTTTAAATGTTTTAATTTCTTCATTTTTCTACTCCTTCCTGGGATCTGCCCCTGCCACCTTCCCCCATACACATACCTCCTTGGTTCTGTTGAGTAAATTCAGAACATTGGTCCTATTATCCCAGATTTTCTTACAATATACCTCTTCCGTTTCAATAATCCTTACTTAACTCATTACAATTCCTGGTCAGGGATTCATGATTCTTTCAGATTTAACCATAAAATACTACAAGATTTATTGCTCACCATTCTTTCTTGTACTCTACCTTGAGAGTTTTGTTGTAATTTAATTTTCACTTGGTTAGAGTTCTTCCTTGAGTAACTTCCTCAGTTGAAGAAGGGTTGCCTTCACACCCATTGGCTTTTTTTCCTTTGGTACCGCGGTCCTTGCGCTTGCGCAGCAGGTGTTGAAACCACTGAGCTAAATCCCTGACCACACCCATTGGCTTTTGCATTACTGGAATAGACTAACTCATGTTTCAGGAATCACGAATCAACATCCGCTCTTCCAAAGAAGTCTCTTGTTTTTTGCACGCAAACTTCGCTGCTGGTCCTCAGGGACTCGACAGGGAAGCTGCCCTCCACGTGACAGCTCTGTGCTGGAGTCTGTGTCAACACCAACTGGCCAGATCACAACTAAACGGGGGAGAGAGTGCCGGGAAGTCCACTACTATCAAACGTTTCTGCCCCCAGGTAACGCACTTGTTTTCCTTTGCATTTCATTGGCCCAAGAATGTCACGTGACTGTGCCCGGCTGCCCTGGGACAGAGCACAGGGATATCCTCTGCAAGTCTGAAAGGCAGCGAGCTGGAGTTGTTTGTGAGAATCACTAGTGTCTACCTCATCCTTCCTATCTGGGTAGAACATGGTTTGATTTTAGCATTGTCATCACACACCCTTTCTCTGGTGTGAAGCACTGTTTGTCCCATGTCTGGGGTCAACAGTAGGGACTGGTGGCAAGTCCATTAGTGCAGGAATAGCCCCTAAAGCAAGGATGGGCAGGTAGGCAAAGGTATGGTGGAGATGTGGATTTCTGATGCTGGTGCTAGTGCTCATCTCCTTGCCCACATCTATTGCTTGAATTTCTGTTTTGATAGCTAGCAAGGTTGTTTTTCCAGCCAAGAAGTATGAGAAGCAAAAGCTTTTTATGGTTAACTCATTCACTCCTTACCACAGCCCTGCACTATTCTCTTCAGTTCATAAGTGGGCGACCGGGGTACAAGGAGAGGAGTTGAGTTAGAAGGCAGAAGGGGTGTGCAAATGGTCTGGGCAACTCCAGTGTCCACATGCATGCAGTGTACCACTGGCCTGTGCTCCTCTCCAGCGCTTGCTTCTGAATTTTCAGTTGACTTCTGAATAGTGAGCAGGATTTCAGTAGCAAAGGAGAAAGGGAGGACCGTCCAATGTGAGATGCCAGCACATGAGCAGGATGGGGGCAGGGGTAAATGGGAAGGGGAAGCGGTCCCCTGTGATTGGATTATAAACTCTGCAAGGTGTTGTAGGGAGAGATGAGATTTGAAAGTCAAATTAATACCAGGTAGAGAAGGGTCCCATAACTTCCAAGCCCTGAGATCTCAGGCAAGCTACTTGACTTCTCTGAATCTTAGTCTTCTGGTCTAGAAAATGGGCATAGATTGCCCTTTGTGGCTCTGTGTGTGTGTGTGCGAGTGCACTCTTATGCCCAAGTGACTGTGTATGTGTGTTAAGCAACTAGCAAGTGCTTAATGAAATTTAATGCCCTGACCCTTACTTTTCAGTTGCTGACAGCTGGCTGGCTGGGGAAGGGAGGGAGCTAAGGGCGGGTGTCACGGGGCTGGCCATGTGTCAGCAGCTCCTGAAACCCAGGTTTCTCCCAGTCAGTCTCACCATCTCCTTCAACATTTGAGCGATCGGCCTCAGGACCATTTGGTGTTAATTACAGCAACCCAGGCTGCTCTGTGTGAAGGAAATCGTCCCTCATTTCTCTCATTAAAATAAAATATGACCTATTTTTATGCCTGCGTATTTTGTTGCCGAGATTACGAGAATCATCCTTTCTGTTTATACAGAACGAAGAAACGTTACACCGGGAGGCCGCTGGGCCCCCAAGCCTGGGGAATAGAAAGCAGATGTTGTCCTCGATGCGTAAGCCCTCGCAGTCTCGCTGCAGCCTCCTGTGCTGTGTCTTCGTGGAAGAAGTGCAATCCTCATTTCAGACTCCACAAAGCAAAGGGACTGCAGGAGAAAAAGCTCATGGGCTAGAGTGCTTTACCAGGTGCCAGCCCCCTAAACAGATTTCCCCTTACTTCTCCCCAGAAGCTGCAAGAGCAGTCAGTATTAATCCCTTTTTTATTGTACACTTTTAAGGTGTACAATATGATGTTGTGACATACATGTATGTTGTGAAATGATCACTATAGTCAGGGAAATTAACAGATCCATTGCCTTCTGTAGTGTGTGCGTGTGTGTGTGTGTGTGTCTGTGTGTGTGTGTGTGATAAGAGCATCTAAACTCCACTCTTAGCAAATTCCAAGTAACGTTGACAGTCTGGAGTTACCAGCTATTGTCCGTATGCAGTACATAGATCTCTAGAATTCATCCTACATAGCTAAGATTTTGTACTCCGGACCTGTGAATCCTTTCTTAGTCTCAGTTCCTTTAAACCAAGGATGTCCAAGCCTTCCTGTTGACCTGTGATGTGGGGAACAAAACCAGTGTTCATAAGAGATACCACCACTGACCTTTGTGTACAGCCTGCAGGGCCACAGAGCTCTCATACTTGTCCTAGTGACTCCCCACAAAGCGTCTGTGATAGGTGGGGCTTGGGGAGTGGAGCAAAGTCAGTTGAATGAGAAGTAGTGGGGACTTGGAGATATTTAAATGGAGAATGGACAGTGCAAGATGTGTGGGTTTGAAGGATCAGGTTGGTACCTGTCTGGAGAATGGGCAGAGGGGAAGTGAGAGGTGAGAGTGGGAAGAAAATCCACCCTAAGTCCTCTCATTGTCCCTTCTGAGCCCTGGCTAACGGGTGCATCCCAAGTTTCCTGAGTTCTCCTTGGCAGGGGTTGACAAACGTTTGCTTTAAAAGACCAAATAGTCGATATTTTAGAGTTGTGATGGATGTGGTTTCTGTTGCAGATAGTCAACAAGACCACAGCAGCAGCCAAAGACAATATGTAAAGGAGAGGGCGTGAGTGGGAGAAACAACTTTATTTACAAAAACAAGAGTTGGCTGGCAACCTCTACCCTGTGGCAATGTACTTTTGTTTGACATATATTGTTTGCTATCGATCAGACCCCAGGCTCTGTGAAATCGCATGCTGATTTATGAATTTTTGTCTGATTGAAATGCAAATAATTTATGTTTGGTAGAAAAAATAACTCCAAAGGGTATGATTTTATTATCTTCAAGGACATTAACCGGTTTTATATCTAACAAGAAATCTTATTCCAAATTCTTTCTGCAGTGCTTACATAATATACTCTCAAATACTCTCCAAACCAGCTTTACCATCTGGCTGGTTCCCTCATTAATGAGTTAAATAAATCTTTAACACATGTTCGTTTGTTATTTGTACAACTGTCATTTTAATTGTAACCTTCCGAAAGTTATACTTTACTTTCCAGGAGGAGAGATTCAGGATAAGGCTTGTGGAGTTGTCCGGGAAAGATATTAGGGTGGAAGAGCCAGAGAGACTTGGTTGGGATTTGAGGAGCGATGACACAGAGATGTAGAAAAGGGTGGAGAATGAATGATTCCCAAGACTAGCTTGATATGATGATTAGTAAACGACATTACTGTTCACAGAGCCATGGAATATTGTCCCATAAAAATGGAGAGTTTATGGCACCTTCAGTAACCTGTGATATAACTGAAGTTCTCCCAGGGGTGAGCTTTCTTGATCAGTCCAGATGTCCTCAGATCTGTCTGAACTGGAACATTACTCTTTCAGGCCTTCTTTCACAGCACCTTTTTAGAAAAAGTATGCTTTATCTTGTTTTATTCTCACTCCTTCTAGGAATGCTGTCTGAGTTTCCTTAATAACTCTGTTTTGATGAGGAAGGAAGTCTGATGAATTAGCCAATAATCTAGAACCCAGAATGTGGACTTCTTGAGACCTGGTCCAGTGATATTTTGCAAATAATCTCAGTGCTGCCTCCTAGGCTGTGAACTCTCTGAGGTCTGGTCTTGATCACTGCTATGTCCCTTGCACATAGCAGATGCTCATGGAATATTCGTTAAATGAAGGAATGAATGAACTCTGTTATGAATAAAAGCATTATTTCAAAAGTCAGGGAACCCTGTGTGCAACTGACTTCTTCAAAAAATCCTTTCCTTTTTCAGGATCTCATTTCCCTCATGGCAAAATGAGGTGGATCATATTGGGTGGTACTGAAGACCCTTGGAGTTGGGGCACCTGTGAAGGAAGACAGCAGGTCAGGACACATCCTGCCTTGTAGGCTCTTGCTTTTGAGTCATGGGTGAGACACAGGATAAGACACTGAGATGTGACGAGTTATCTCTTCCGGGGTCAAAGCTTATTGAGCAACCTGGCCCAGAGCACAGCGTCTTCCCTTTACCTTGCAGCAGATTGTGATGACTCCTGTGGTGTGGCCCCTCGGTGTGGGGTTGCTGCTGTCCCTGCAGTTCCTGGCATTTCCACTCCCTGGCAGGTGGAGAATGTGTCAGGCAAGGGGATATTGCTGAGAACCTTCTTGGTCCAGCCCTGTCCTGAGCATCGGGGCTGGATGTTTCCATGGGCTTCGCAGATGTGCAGTGGGGTCGGCAGAATCCTGGTGGAGAGTCAGGGCGTCTAAGATTTTACCTCCACTAGGCTACCTGTTAGCTCTCTGACCATCTGAACCTGTCTCCTCTCTGGAGAATACAAGGAACTGGCTTCCCAGGAAACCCTCAACATCATACTGATTCAGATGGTTCAAGAGGTTATGAAGGAATATCTCATTGAGATGTGGCAGGGCTGAGGGAGCCAACATGGGAAGCTGAGGTACCAGAGATTAGCAAGAGTGGGAGGCCATTTCTGCTCCAGGCTTGAATTACTGGGAGGAGAACAGGGCTCTGGGGCCCTTTTGGGGCCGGGGAAGGGTGTGCCAAGTGGGAGGGAGCCAGAGGCACGGCACTGTGGCCTCTTTTCCTTCTTTCCTGCCATTCCTCCCATATCTGGGAGCTGACCCAGCATCCACCTCAGCAGCCCCAGCAGGAAGAGAAGGGCGGAGAGTGGATCGGGAGGGAGCAGGCCAGTGACAAACAGGCCGACCTCTAAGGCCTCTCATTGGGTGACCATTGTTTAATCCAGTGAAGCCTAGGCCTCCCTTCCTGGACCAGTCCCTTCATTCCAGCCACATCGTAGGGCAGGGCCTGTCCGGGGTGGGCCATGTCTGGGGATCTCTGCCTGGGATGCTGGAAGGTCAAGGGGCAAACTATGACCTCTTTCAGGGGCTAATGCAGGGCTACGTGTCCCCCAGAGTGTCACAGTGATTGCTTTTCCCGTAGCCTGTTAATTCAGCACAGGCAGGGATCCTGTTTGTGTGGTGTCCATGCTTCCTAACATAGGCCTGGCCTGCAGCAGGCTCTCAGCAACTCTGCACTGAGTGGATAAATGGATGAATGAGGAATCATATTCTCTGAGTTGCGTCTTGTTTCTGGCCCAACATGGGATTCATGCTGCCTGTGTCATGCTGTGGTAGCTCCATAGCAGTAGCAGGAGCTCCTCCAGGTTTGGGGCTTGTCTCTGGCAACTCCCCTCCCCATTTCTGAGGCATGGGGGAGACTGGGTGCTCATCGCATGGTCTTTTAGTGGTCTGGAACTATTTGCTGTTGGAGCCTGGGCCCTGTAGAGGAGTTGTGAACTCAACCCCTTCTCTGGCTCATCTTCTGTTCCTTCCCCTCTTCTCTGTGTGGCCTGAGCACGTCCTTGCTGGCTTGTGGGAAATTCCGTTTCTTGCTTCTTGACAAGTTAGTACTTGCCAGCCTGACCTGAGCATCTGCACAAGTCATTTCCTGAAGTTTTGAGTGCATCTGGGTCTCGGTAAGGGACCTGCACACCTCCACAGTACAGACACACAGTCTGAGTTCATCCGTGGGGACTGGTTACATAAACTCCACCCAGGGGAATGCGAGGCTGCTGTGGGAAAGAGTTAGGAAGCTCTCTGTATATAACTGGCATGGAGTAACCTCCGATGTAGGTAAGGAAGTGACTGAGCAGGGGAGAAGTAGGGTGTAGAGTGTGCTCTTCCCATGTTGGAAAGAAAGAGCTAGCTGAGAATACAGTTTGGAGCCCGAGTGACCCTAGGGGGGTCCATACAGAACTAATACAGATGATTTCAGGTCAGGGTGAGCAGAGATGGGTTGGACGGAACAGGATTAGAAGTCTGATTTTCATAACTTACCATTTTGTATTGTTTTCAACTTTTGAAACATGTAGAAAAATGATTTAATTGCCCTTGGAAAGCTGTCATCAGGAAATCAGAGGAGCCCAGTAGGAGGAACGCATGACGCAGCCTGGAGGCAGGAGGGAGGCTCCCCAGAGGAGGTGACATTTCATCTGAAGTGAAGAGCATGTGGAGCGGGCCAGCAGTGGGGAGTGGAGGAGCGCTTCAGGTAGGCTGTGTAGACCTGAAGGTGGGACAGTGTAGGGACCTAAGGAAGCTCCTGTGGCCGGTGTAAGTTCAGGGTTTGGAGTTGTGGTAGGAGGGAGGGATGCACTGCTGTCGAGGTTGACCAGATGTCCACGGCCCAAAAGTGCCCTGACTTGGCATGCCAGACACTACTAGGCCCGCCATGGGCAATCATTTACACAGTCCTCACCTGAGCTGAGTACTTGCCCCTCTCCAGACTGCACCAGAGGCCCCAAGAGTTTATGTAGTTTTCCTAGTCCAGTAGCCAGTGGGCAGCAGGCACAATGTTGGCCACATGCTCCTCTGGCTGGTCTTCTCTAGAAAGAGGGTGCTGACCTCTTGGATGAGGCCAAATGCCTGAGAAGCACCTGGCTCAGTGACTGCATCTTACGGGGACACAGCTGATGTCACTGGCTACTAACTGATGGTCCCCCAAGTCCCAGAATCTCACTCCAGCCATTTGGCACAGCCTGCTGGAAAGGACTGAGTCTGAGAACATAGAACATGGCAGCCAACATCCCTCATTAAGATCACAGAGAGGTATGTGTGTGGGATCTTGTCAAACCTAGATCATCTAAATGTAAGATGCCCCAAAACCCCCTTAATGGGGAGTCCATTTAATGAAAGTAGAGAGTCCACTGGGGAGTTCATTTAATGAAAGTGAGGCTGAGCGGTTTGCAGTGAACACCAGCTCCCTGCTAGGCCTTCTTCAGGCCTCCTATCACCTATGTGGTCTCAGTTACTTCTCACTACAGCTGGTCAATGTACGCATGGTTATCCTCATTTCACAGATGAGGAAACTGAGGCTTATGCAGGTTAAGTAGCCTGCGAAGGTTATACAGGTAGGTGACATTCAACCGGGACTCGAGTCCTGGTTCTTGATGGATGACAGAGGCCTGCATCCTAACAGATGTCTGGATGAGTAGGGTCCAGTGAGCATACAAAGACAGCACCCAGAACCTTCTAGAAGGAGACAAAGGACCCTTGACTGGAGTCCCTCAAAACAAGAAGCTGTTGGCCAAGTGGAGAGGAGAAGGATAGCTGCTTCAGGGAGAAGGACCAGCGCAGGCAGAGCTTTCGAAGGGACTGACAAGTAGTCAGGAGTGGCAGTAGGAGGGAGTAGGGTGCCAGGAGGGAGGCGGGAGGCAGGTGGGCAGCAACTGGACCCAGCTTAAAACATGCAAAAGCCATGATCTGTTTCTCTGGCAAGTCCGCTGTCTCCTTCTAATCTGTAAAGGAGGAGAGAACAGGCACTGAACAGGGGTTTCTCATGTAACCAGGTTCACAATGAAAAGGTCAAGATGGCCGGCAGCTCAGGAGGACCCTGTGTGAGGCCTGGCAGGAGGTCATGGAGGGGCCTCCTCTCCTCTGTTCGGTCACCCTGCCCTCTTTATCTTCAGTTTTACATCCAGTTGCTGTCCTCACACCTCATCAATCACTCCCACCCCCAGCCCTTGGGAAAGGCCTACCACACTGCTCTGCTGACCCCAGTGGCTGGTGCTTACTTGGGAGATCTGGGCCTCTCCATCCTGGTGACCCAGGACAGAGAAGGGCCATTAAAGCCTTGCTTACTCATGGAACCCCAAAGCAGATGGCTAGTTCCAGGCTTGCAGAGCTGGGAGGAGACATGAGACCCAAGCTTCCTCCTACTCTACTTATTTTATGGAGCTGCATTAATAGATGAAGCCCTTGGAAAGGCGTCTAGTGGATAGCAAGTGCTATTGAAGAGCTGGCTACTATGGTTATCATGCTGTTGTATTTATAGGTGGAGAAGAAGAGGGCTCACCAGGCCTGGGGACTGGCCCAACTCCACCACCAGTGACAGGGTGAACCGGGACCATGTCCAGGCTGGGCCTCTTTCCAGACATCCTACTGCCCAGGGTAGCATTCCACAGCTTCCTTCACTCTCAGCAGTTATATCGGGAACCCTGATCCAGGTTGGGCGGTAAGGAAAAGCACAACAGGAAGCTTCTTATCAGAAGGGACAGTGATAAAAGTTCTTTTTCATAAAAAATTGTCTTCATTTCATCTCATCCCCAAACACACCATTTTATAGGTATGTGCATACCACGCCTAGAGATTTGGACTTACAAGACAGTAACTTTCCAGCCCCTTGGGTGGGAACATGCCTATGATTAATGGATATGCCACCTTGAAATTTCTCTGTCTCCCAACACTGGCCTTCCTCCCCCTCCCAGAGTGAGAAATGAGGACTGATGCTGGGACTGTGAAAAAACACCAGCTGGCTAGGGACTGGGGGTTTGGGGCCAGAGCTTGGATTAGGGATGGCCAGCTGCTAGGTGGCACAAGAGTGCTTCAGGGTCACCCATTTGTCTCATCCTTGGACATCTGGGGTAAACTCGTGCCTGTCCCTGACTTTGTGAAGTGCCTGCATTATCTACAGCCCAGAAGAATGTCTAAATGGAATCCAGCTGACTGGGGGCTTCTGTATCAGCCCGGGAAAAGCAGGCAGTGGCCTGGGCTCCCCAGACACCTTCAGCCAGGGGAGATGAGGCTGGGAAATTACCAACAAGAAGATGCTGGTTTAAGGGGTAGTCACCAAGGCTGGTGGCCCTAGGCCCAGGAATTTTTCTGCACTTTGCTGAAGTCTATTTTAGGGCTAGTAAAATGCAGTAGTTCTATTTCATCAGGGCAGGCCACTCACAGATGGGCATAATGTGCCATGCATAGGGGTCTGTCTCTGGAGCCAGTGTTCAAGTCTGTGCCTCCCACCTTCCTGGCTAGCTATGTGACCATCAGCAGTTTGGTAATTGGTGTGTTCTGTCTTCCTCCTCTGGAGAATGGAGGGGTGTTGGTATTTCTCACCTCAGTCCTGTGCAGATACACAGTGAGTGCCCACAAAGTGCTCAGAACAGCTCTGGCACATTGTAGACTTCATGGAGGCATTGGCAGGCTTTGGGCTTTGCAGCCATTGGCTGCCAAATCCTCACAGCAGATCCTCCCCCTGGTGAGTGAGTTGGAGATGGGTGAGGCCCGATTACTTAGCTCTGAAGACTGCTTTCTGCTGGGCCAGACCAATTTCACATCCTTTCAGTCTCACCTGAGATCTTTCTCTTCCTTTTCCCATCGGATGGGTGCATGGAGAGATGAATGAGATTACTTCCTGGGCATCTCCTGTGTAGGAAGAAGCAGACACCTGCCTCACCTCCGAAGACAGTGTGTGCTTCGCTGTATAAAATGGCCCAGTGTGCAACCCCTGGGTCAGGCTTCGTGGTTTGCTTCTTATCTTGTTCTTGGTGCCTGCTTCCTGCGATGTGCTTTTCCTTCTTCTTTTCCATCTTCACAGCATCCGCTCTGGGTGGGCAGATGGTGAGGGACTTGGACAGTGTGGAGAGCTCCTCAATGTTGGAGCTGTGCAGATATTGGAGGCCTTGGCCATTGCTATTCCTGAAGATCATGCTCTAATAAAATACTGGGGGGAAAGCCAAGCAACATGGTACCATTGGTGGGATTTAAAGCTGGCTGGTGATCATGCCTTTCCTTCAAGTCTGGCAGTGCTTGTGTGAGGCCATACATTATCCACTCCTTTGTGTCCTTCTAGAACTTCTAATGAGGCCCTCTGGGAGTGTGCCATGGGTTACAGCTTTGACACTACTTCTGGCCAAGTGAGGGCTGATCTGCTTGGGCAGGACTGTGCCTCTTGTCTTCAGCATGCTGGGCACACTGAGAGAACCCTCTGAAAGAGACAGGGACTTTCCCCCCCTCTTCCTGGGATGCTTGGGGGCCCCACCTCCCTGGCTTTTCTCAGCTGTGGGCTGCCTGGCTTTCCCAGAGCTTCCATCCCTAGAGCTCCATAAGGCCTGTAGCTAGCGAGGCTTACAACCACATCTTGTCTTCCTTTAGGCACCAGAATGTTCCCGTTCCATACCTGGTCTCCTCTCCTTTGGTAGTGAGCATCAGGCTCTGCCTGTGTCTCATCTCAGTATCTACAGCACCCAGCCCAGTGTCTGGCAGAGAGCAGGTGCTCAATAAACATTAAGGGATGAGTGAATGCCAGGTCCTATGTTTCATGCACCCAGGACTGCAAACTTGAGGAGCAAAACCAGGAAGTGGAGCTCACGATTGCAATTCCAGATCAGTCATATGCTTCTTTGTAGCACAGAGTCAGTTATGTAACTCTGAGCAGCGGGAGAGAGGACTTTGGGATTATTTGCTGACCTGTTGGTGAGCATCGGCCCAGATACAGCCTGCAGGAGACGGCCAGCTCTTCAGAAGACAGAACAAAGAAACACTGGTCTGAAATCATCATTGTTTTCTTGCTCAACTTACTCCATTTGTCCAGAATTGTTTCATCCCTTCAGGAGCTAATAATGTCCCTCCTCGTTGGAGAAGGAGTGTATTAAGAGGGCTCATTTGAGGTTAAAAGAACAAAATGTCTCCTGAAGTCTTTTTCATTTTACAGAAGAGGACATTGCTTAAGTTTATGTGACTAATCAGTAATTGCACTTCCAGCTGCAAGTATGGAGCATTTACTGGATAGGAGGCACTAATGTTAGCATCTGTTATCATATATAACCCTGGTTGAGACAAATTTATGGCTTGGGTTCTATTATTCCCATCTGACAGAGGTAGAAACAGGCTCAGAGAAGCACAGTAACTTGCCCTATTCCGTCTCATTACATAAGGGTAGAGCCTGAATCTGAGCCACGTGGTTCTCAGCCCATAGGATCTACACACTAGAATTGCTGCTGATGTTTGAAGAGAAGTCACACCAGACATGGCCAGCTAGGACCCCCTATGTTCTAAGAAAGCTCCCCACAAGTTCTGATATGCCTCCCCCCAACCCCTGTTCAAGAACCTCAGTGTTAATTATTCACCCTTTCTGAGCCCTAGGTCTTTTCATTGAACAACAGAGGCCTCTGGAACCCAGGACATCTTGCAAAAGTCCAAAAGAGCCAACGCCTGTGTGAAAGTTTGGGGCTGCTCACAATTGTTGACTTCCCTATCCCAGGGATCACAGAGTGCCCGGAGGGCCTTGGGTCTCTTGTGTGTGTGCATGACCCCACTCTGCCAAAGACCCAGAACACTGTTTTCTGGGCTTCGGGGTTCAGTTTCCTGATTGTTTGTTATTCTTCTTAATAGAATTCAGGAAAAGGCCACGAGTGGGCCAGACATCTGTGATAAATCTGCTGGGGTTTTTACAGGGAGAACTTCCCAAGTTCGCTGTATTCTATATTCCTTACTTGTCTTTCCAGCTACCACTTAGCCAGGAAAGTATCTTGCTTGAACTGAGGAGGAAAAATGTCCAGCCTGTGAAGCTCTGGTGAAAGCTGACTTTGGAAATGTGAGTGTGGTCGAGCAGTGTGCAAAAACCTCTGGAGGCCCTGTCTGGAAGGCCCGGGGATCTTCACGGCAGACTTCCCGTGTCCAGACCTTGTCTCAAACGCTTCGCCTGGGGGCGGGAGGGCAGCATCCCACTGTGTCACAGGTGAGGAAACTGAGGCTCAGGCAGGTGACGTGATATACCCAAGGCCCTGCACCTGGTGAGCAGGGAGCAGCTTCACAGCCAGTTGGTGTGACTTCGAAGCCGGTGGCCCTCTCTGTACTGCCACTGTCTGTCCAGGCTTCTATTTGTCTCCATTATTTCCAAATAGCCTTAAATTAATTTTATGATAAAAGCAAACTCTTTTCTTTTTTTGACAGTGCTAGGGATCGAATCTAGGACTTTCACACTGAGCTACAGCCCTAGTCCTCCCTGCTTTTTATAAAATCTTGAGACAGGGTCTCACTAAGCTCGTAAATTACTCAGGATGGTTTACATTTTGGATCCTCTTGCCTCAGCCTCTCAGAGTCCTGGGATTATAGGTGTGCAGCACCATGCCCAGCTAAAGCAAACAAAATTTTAAACATTATCCTCAAAATAGATAAAAATATTTCTAAAATGTAACATTCTTGTAATGCTTTGTATTGTCAGTACCTGCTACATGTTTGACACTAGCGGATGTGTAATAAATGATTAATGATTGGATATACAAATAGATGAGTCCATATCTGCTACTATTTGTTTTTAAAACATCTCTTTGTCTGGGCACATGCTCATAATACCAGCTACTCAGAAGACTGAGGCAGGAGGATTGTGAGTTTGAGGCTAGGTTAGGCAACTAAACAAGACCCTGTCTCAAAATAAAAATTTAAAAAAGAGGTGGGGAAATACTTCAGTAGTAAAGTGCTTGGGGGCCCTGGGTTCAATCTCTAGCACTGCCATATAATATATAATTTATAAGGGAGGGCAGGGGAAGGGGAAAAAAATAAGAACCAGGATACATCATGTAAAGGTACAAGATCCTAATGATGAATATAATTGTATTTTATACCTAAAAAGTACCAATAAACTTAATGGAAAAAATTATATATAATTAATAATATATATAATATATAATGTTTTATATATATATATATATGTATTAGTTGGTGCTTAGTTATTGTAGGTATTTATGGCGTCCTGAGTGACATTTCAGTGTAAGTATACAATGTGTAAATGACCAATGATCAGGTCAGAGTAGTTGGCATATCTGTCACCTTAGACATAGATCATCTCTTTGTGTTGGGGACATTCAAAATCCTCTATTAGCCTCCGTAGGGACCAGCCTTCCCTCCGACACCTTGATAGATTTCTGTGGGTTTTTTTGTTGGTACCAGGGATCGAACTCGGGTCATTGCACTTGCACAGCAGGCGGCGAAACCACTGAGCTAAATCCCTGGCCCGATTTCTGTTATTTTAAACCAGCAAGGTTTTGGTAATTTGTTATGGCAGTATGAAAACAAATTCACCTATAACACAGACGTTGTTTTTGTTCTACAAAAACAGAAGGAAACAGGCTGAGGAAAGGCTTGGGGCTTTGTGTGCACTCTCACAGGCAGCACCCACGGCAGCCCGCACTGGGAGCATCTCCACGACTTCCTGGTCCAGCAGCCCGTGCGCTGCCCAGCGCCAGACCCCCAAGGAGCCCGTGCCTGCTTTAACATGCTGCTCTTGTCGCCTTGAAGTCCCCGATGAATTTTGAACAAGGTGCCTGCTTTCATTTAGCGCAGAGCTCTGGAAATCATGGGGCTGGTCCCAGATCTCTGCTTTTCCCCCTTCATCATCCCCAGCGCTGTGACTCACACACATCCTCGGTCTCTGCTGTCCCTCTGGCCACAGTCTCCCCACCAGGCCCCCCATGTGGTAGGCTGCACAAAGGCTCCTCAAAGATGGCCATGTCTATCCCACAGCCTGTGAATATGTTACGTGCCGTGGGAGGGGGCGCTTTGCAGATGTGATTAAGGACACTGAGATGGGAAGAAGTTTGTGCTGTGTGACCTGGTGGCACCCAACACAATGGCTCTTATCAGAGGGACACAGGGGGTAACAGGGTCAAGGAGAGGCAATCAGATGCAAGAACTGGAGATGGGCACGACGTCCTTTTCAGACAGGCAGAGGGACAGCTAGTCAAAAAACCCAGTTGGCTGCCGGAAGCTGACAAAGGCAAGGGGGACATGTATTGTCCCTTCAGATCTTCAGGAAGGAGCCAGCCCTGCTGACCCCTTGATTGCAGCCCAGTGCAACTGATGGTGAAGCTCTGACCTAAGAATTATGAAAGAATACATTTTGTGTTAAGCCAGTGACTTTGTGGTCCTTTGTTACAGCAGTGAGAGGAAGCTAACATACTTTGCTTCCAGGATTCTCCCTTACATTCACCTTTAAATCTGCAGAAGAAAAATAAATTATTCTGGCAGCATTAGGAAAGATAAATAGAGCTCAAGTTCAACAGAAAAACATTCAAAACATTTACATAACATTTATATCTAATTGTAGAAATCACAGGACTTCAAAGGCAAGATTCCTTTTCCAATGTTCATTTATTATGCAAGGGAAAAGATTCCCATATGTGTAGATTATCAAAATAATCAGTGTGATAATAATTACTAGCTCAGAAATCCAGGGAATATTTAAAAAGTGTGTTGTTTAAAAAGCTGTCAATGCTTCTGTCTTAATCTTTCATTATTCTGAAAGGACACATGATTTTGACATTTGTGTTATTTAATGGTTAGATTTCTGTCTAACACATAAAAAGTTAAACACTAAAAGAATTCTTAAACATGAATTTAATCAAGGTCCTTTTTAGGAAAAAGCAAATGAAAGAAAAGTAATCATCGAAATTCTACAACACCAAACAAATATAACAAATATAAAAATCAAAGGAGAAATCAAAGTCCGCTTTCCTTAGCCTGACTTTCAAGGTTAACTCATCACTTAGCCTTCACCCTGAGTTCCTCCCACATCTGCCACCAGCCTGCCCCTCTGTGCAAAGGGGTACAGCTGAAAAAGCATGAATTTCAGATAGAGTTCTATGCTAACATTTCCTGCCTGTGTGAGTCTGGACAAGTCACCTAATTTGTCTCCGTCATATTATGCCCATTTCACAAATGAGGAAATTAGTCCTGAGGCAGAGCCACAGAGGAAATGAACCATGCTACGCTGGGTGATGTCTGTGCATCATAGGTGTTGCTTTGATGCCATCAAGTATTAATTACTGTTCTTTGCGGGCAGCAGTAGACGTGTTCTGGACTCACTGCATGTGGCTGATAAAGCAGAGACACTCGTTTGAAAAAGTTAGTATCAGGAATTCTAAGTAGGCATTTGGAGCTCCTAGCTGCAAGGAATCTGCATGGAACAGAAGCTTGCATAAACTCAGAGCAGGAAGTTTCTGCCTTAAACATCTGAGGACCCAGGGATGGTGTTTACTTTCTTGCAGCACAAGAAGCACTCAAACTTTCTGGTAGAAAGATAGGAAAGTTGGGGAGTAGTGAGTCTCTGGAATAAGTCTCCTTGTTCCCCTTGGGGGTATGACTTTGGTTCTGACTTCCAATGGAGAGGGCCCGAGCACCTCTGCCCAACATCTGGCTCCTTGGCCTGGGATGCAGCAAAGCCTGCAAGGGTCTTGCTCATTTTGCCCTGGATGAGAAGGTTAAAGATGGCAGAAAGGAACAAATAATAGGATACTTGTTCAGCTTCTTGAACTGAGCCCAAATGACAATGGATTCAATGAAGTAGAAGGCTTATTTCTGCCACCTGAGCGATTATACTGGCAGGTGTTCCAGAGAGGAGGGCATCTCAGTTCCACAAGTCATATGCACACCTGATTCTTCTTTCCCTGTTCCTCCAGTATCTCCCAGGATGTTGGTTTGATTTTCCCAGCTTCAAATAGTCTTCATCTACCTCATCTGCACTTCAGTGGGCCAGAAGGAAAAGGGGAAAAGGGCAGCAAACTGCTTTCATTTCAGGGCATGACCAGATGTTCATGGGTTGCTTCTTCTCACATCCCATTGGCCAGAAGTTTGTCATATGTTTGTCCCTAGTTACAAGAAAGATACTTGATCTCTGCTTGTCTGGCCATGAGACCAACTAAAATGTGTAAGTACAGGACTACAACGAACAGAAATTGGGATCAAATGGATATTGGGGACAATTACTAACCAGGCAACAGAGAGGCTACAAAGAACGGCAAATATTTCCACATTGTGTCACTCAGGGTTTAATGAAGGAAGTGATTCTTCTGGAATAGGGGATTTATCATAGAAATATTAATGGATTGATCTTGGCCTGAAGAGGCCTCCATGCATATTTTAAGTTTGGCCTAAAGGTTTTTCTGTACCTAGTGAACTGTAACCTAACTTGATGTATCACAGACTATCCTAACCTGGAAGTGTACTCTTGCAATAAGTAGCCACCTTTCAACCAATCACAGCATCTGAACCCCCAGCCAATCAATCTGCCAAAATATGACCACAGTAAGGCAAATGCTGACTGTAGCCAATCAGGCTGTTTCTATTTGTCCCCTCCTTTTCTCTGGTTATAAATACAACCTGTATATGAGGTGTGTGGAAAATTCTGAACCACGTTCAGTGTATCCTGCTGCCTGGTTCATCAGTAATTTCTTATTTTTTTCTTATTTATTTATGTATTTAATATATTTATTGGTACATTTTATGTATACAATATGTTTACATTTATCATTGTGTGCTTGTACTTGTACATGATGTATCTTCGTTCTTATTTTTTCCCCCATTACCTGTGCGCCCTTCACCCCCTCCACCCTTCCCTATTTACATGGACTTTGTTTCCATTTTTTTTTCTTTCTCATAATTTTTCCTTTCCCTTCTTCCCTTTCCCCTTCCCCTCCCACCATCCCTACATCTTTGGACCTTTTCCTATTTCAAATTATCAATTATTCATTTTAATCATTTTCATCCTTATTTACACTTTCAGTTTCTCAGACCAGAGAAACTATTAGGTATTTACACATGTGTGTCCTATTTATTTCACTTAAGAGTATCGCCTCAATGTGCATCCATTTAGCTATAAATGTCTCTAGTTTCTCGTTCTTTATGGCTAAGTAGTACTCCATTTTATAAAAAACACATCTTCTTTATCCAGTTTCCAGTTCATGGGCACTTGGGCTGTTTCCAAGCTTTAGCTATTACAAACATTAAAACTAGACCCATACCTATCACCATGCACTAAACTAAGATCAAAGTGGATTAAAGATCTAAATATTAAGACAGAAACACTAAACTTGCTGAAAGGTAAGTGAGCTAGAACTCTTGATGACATTGGCATAGGAAAGGCCTTTATGAACAAATCCTCAGTAGCCTGGGAACTAGCACAAAGAATCAACAACTGGGATCTCATCATGTTAAAAAGCTTCTGCACTGCAAGAGAAACCACCAACAGAGCTAAGAGACAACCTATAATGTGGGAAGAAATTTTTAACAGCTGTACCTCAGACAAAGGTCTACTATCGAGAATATATAAAGAACTGAAAAAAATCAGACCCCCCAAATTCAAAGACCCAACTCAAACATGGGCATCCAAAATGAACAGACATTTCTCAGACAGAGAAGTAAAAGAAGCAAATAAATATATGAAAAAATATTCAACATCACTGGTCATTCGAGAGATGCAGATGAAAACAACCCTGAGATTCCACCTTACCCCACAAAGAATGGCTGCTATCAAGAAATCAACCAATAACAAATGCTGGCGGGGGTGTGGGGAGAAAGGAACCCTTCTCCATTGTTGGTGGGAGTGCAGACTGGTGCAACCACTATGGAAATCAGAATGGAGATACCTCAAAGAACTAGGGCTAGAGGTCCCATTTGACCCAGCTAACCCCCTGCTGGGGATCTTCCCAAAAGAATGAAAAGAATCTTAC